GAAGTAGGAAGAACTTTAGTTTCTTCCAAGGAATGCGTTTGGAAACCATTGGAAGGTTTAAGTAGAGTGATATGACATATTTTCCTAAGATCACAACAGTTCTTTTGCAAGCAGGATTAGGGAAGCAAATTGGGAGGCTTCCTACTGGACAGCCCATATGTAAGGTGATAGCAGTTGGATCAGATTCAGAGCAAACGAGGTGATAAAAAAAATGGTGGAAGTCTTGGTAAATATGGAAGGTAAAATGAACAAGACCTATAGATCAACTGAATACAGTGTGTGACCTAGAAAAGTGAAAAAAAAAAGTCTAAAACATCTGCCTCAAGCAACTGGAAGAATGGAGTTGTCATCAGCGAGAGTAGGGAAGACTGGAGAAGAGCAGGTTGAGAGCTGGAGCAGGTGGCAGAGAAAGAACACTGGAAACTCAGTTCAGGATATGTGCAATTTGAGATGCCTGGAAGAAACCACAGGAGCACTCAGACACACAGGCCTAGCGTTCAGAGGAAAAACCCAGGCTAGAGATTTAAATTTAGGAGTCATTAGTATACAGGTTATATTTAAAGCCATAAGATTGTTCATACTTACCCCAAACATACCCTTCCTGTCTTGTTCCCTGTGCACTAAACAGGTGCAAATGAAACAACCCATACTTCTTTTAGCAAGGATAAAGTTTATAGACTTTGCTATTCATAGAAGTGCCATTAAATAAATATTTAACTAGCAGCAAACACAGCTTAGTTAATTTAACAAACAATCCAGAGTACGTTTATAAGGGAAATCCAGTAGCTTACATTTATACCCTTTCCACCTAAAGTGTGAAATGTTGAGGAAAACATTTACTAATAAATGTAAAAGTCTTTAGAACCAGTGAACCCTGGAATCAGTCCACTTTCCCCACTGAGAACATAAAATTAATGTCTATATTAGGGTGATATCTGCTAGGGCTATTATTAGGGTTCTTCAGCAAGAAAGACTTGGTGAGAGAAGATATGTAGATAAGGATGATAGATATAAGTAGATTAGATAGATAGATAGATAGATAGATAGATAGATAGATAGATAGATAGATAGATACATGATAGATAGATACATGATAGATAGATACATGATAGATAGATAGAGATAATTTCTTAAGGTAATTGGCTCTCATGATTACAGAGGCTGAGAAGTTCCATGACTGACCATTTACAAGCTAGAGACCCAGGGAAGCTATCGGCATGGCCGAGTCCAAGTGTGAAAACCTCTGAATCTGGTAGCTGATGGTATAACTCTCAACCTGAAGCCTGAGAACCTGGGGACCATGGAAGCAAATCCTAGAACCCAAAGTTTGGAGAACCAAGAGTCTTGGTGTCAGAAGCCCCAGATTCCAAGAAGAATTCAACAAATCACCTTTCTTTGCCTTTTAGTTGTGTCCACCCCATCTTACCCCTAGTCAGTGTTTCTTCCCTAACAGTGCACTGGCTTACCTGCCCATGTCCTGCAGAAATACCCTCACAGACACACCCAGAAACAGTGCTTCACCAATTATCTATGAATTCCTTAATCCAGTCAAATTGGCACCTACAATTAGCCTTCATAGGTGATTGTAAAAGTACCACACACTGGTGGCTTAAACAACAGAGATTCATTATCTCAGATTTTTGCACATTCAGTATCTGGAGGTTTAGAGTCCAAATTAGAAAGCCAGCAGCAATGGTTTCTTCAGTGAACTGAGGGGGAAGGGTCTGTCCTAGACCGCTGCTTAGCTTGTGGATATACACCTTCTCTCTGTGTCTCTTCACACCATCTTCTCCATTTTTTCTTTCTTATTCGTGTTGTGTAAATGCACATTTGTGTGTAGTTGCACATGTGAGCACATGCACATGGAGGTTAGAGGACACCCTCAAGTGTCCTTCTTCAGGGACTTCACACACATCACCATGCCCAGTTTCTTTGCATGGGTTCTGGGGAACTGAACTCAGATCTTGGTGCTTGCAAGAGCAAGCACTTTTACTGACTGTACAATCTCTCCAACCACTGCATCATTTTTCCTCCATGCATGTCTATCTCCAAATTTCCCTCTTTAATAAAAGAATCAGTTATATTGAATTAAGATTCATCTAATGACTTCAACTTGATAACCTATCTCCAAACAAGGCCACATATATACACATCGATTTAATTATTGTGTATGTGCTTGTGTGTGCATATCAGAGGACAGTGTTCAGGAGTTTGTTCTCTCCTTCAACCATGTGGGTCCTGAGGATTGAACTCAGGTCCTCAGGCTTGGTGGCAAGCCACTTTACCTACCAAGTCATCTCACTGGCCTGTTTTTTGTTTTTCATGGGTTTTTTTGATTCTTTGTTTGTTTGTTTTTGTTTTAGCAGAAATGGGGTCAGGACTTCAGCATGTGAATATGAAGGAGATATAATTAAATCTATAACAATGCCTATGTAAAAAAATAAACCTAATGGAAATACTAGGCAATAAAATTGTAGAAGGACAAAGAATTTGGCTTGACAAATAATAGAATCTATTCACAGTTCTGAAAAAAAACCTCCCACTAAAATTAATCAACCATAAAAATAGTGAAAATTTCACTCTCCTTGAAGAAAACCAAACATTGCAGAGTAAGGAGGGCTTTTTTTATGACTCTAAATTTAACCTGGAAAATAAATTTGTATCAAAAGTGACATAAAATGGGTTTAGAGGTCCACCTGACAACCAGAGAACCTTAATTTAGCTGGGCAGTAGTTAATCTCTTTCATTTGCAAAAGGCCTTAGTTCAATCATATAAGGGTATCGGCATTTCTAAGGTTAGGCATTGTGCTGCTTGCTGGCATCCGAGGCTAAAGAGACTGATCACCTGTGCCCAAGAAACTTTCCATCTACTGATGGGGACAGAATAACAAGTATTTATAGTTTTTCAAAAGTGATAATAGTGTTAAAAATAGCATGCGGCATAACCACAATTCAGCTGAGGCTCTGAGGAAGACTTAGAGACCCAGCTAAGGAAGCTCTTGCCAAGTTAAAGGTTAACTAGAGAGAAGGGGAAATGAAGACATTCTAATCACAGGTAGTATCCCAGGCCCTTGTATGCAAAATGCCAGAGGTTTCAAAGCAATACCATCGATCGTTGCCACTTTTCAAATAAAAACTTTAAAATGTATTTTTTTTTTTTTTAAGACTAGCCCAGACTGCCCTGGAACTCACTATGTAGTGTATACTTGCAGGATCAAAAATTAGCAGGACAGGATTTGGGGGAAAGCTAATCTCTCACTATTATCAAGTCAAAGAAAGAAAAAAAATGGCAGCAAGTCTTCAGATAAAGTTAGAACGGGCCTTTGGTCATTGTTGCCAGGGACCTCAAAGCTAAACCTGGTGAGCAACTTCAATAGTTGTGTAGTAACTTAACTCCAAGAACAGTCTGCTCTACCTTCTTAATGTTTAGTCCTCCGTTATATCAAAGGTAGGCTAATGTGTATGAATAGGGAATAAAAGAAGATAGGCAATTGAAAGTGGGGTATTTTTAGTGTGTCTTGCCTTTGGTACGGCAGGGTATGAAAGTACAGTAAGCACTGAAATATGTGATGGAGTTCCCAGAATTTAGGGTGTGGATCACTTCCAGTTGTAGTCACTCCTTGGTAATTTCACCCAATGTCATCTGTATTAGTCAGGACTCTCCAGAGAATCAAAATCAATAGTCCCTCTCCCCCTCCCCCTCCCCCTCTCCATCTCCCTCTTTCTGTGCATGTGTTATATGTGTCCTTAGAGATTATCCTCTGTCTGTCCATTCTGTCCATATAGCTAGCTGTCCATCCATCTACCCATCCAGGACTGAGGAAGAGAGATATTTAGTATAAGGAAGTGGCTCACAGCTGTCCATCCATCTACCCATCCATCCATCCATCCATCCATCCAGGACTGAGGAAGAGAGATATTTAGTATAAGGAAGTGGCTCACTACATTCTCGAGGCTAAGCAGTTGTGTGATCGGCACTCAAATTAGCTGGACACCTAGGGCAAAGGTGGTACATACATATTCAGTCTGTGGGAAAGAGAAAACCAATGTCTCAGTCAGTCACTGTTGCATAGGACTGTCCTCCAACAGATAGACCATATTCACATGCCTTCTTCCCAAGCTTGGTTGCACCTACTTGACTAGGATCATCACAGCTAAGCTTGTTGACTGTTGTGCATGGCAAGAAAGGAGGAGCAAGGAGAGTTAGCCATGCCTCCCAACCAACCAGTTGACCCTATTTGCATGAGTTGGAGGGGCAAAGAGCATGTAGACTGAAGAACCCTTGTGGAGGGTCTCTTGCCATTTTGTGGGGAAATGGAGCTTTAGGAAGGGAGCACCCACATTCCTGTAATTAAACCTTCACCCATTGTTCTGTAAGTAAGCCCAGTAAACTCACTGGTTTCCTAGGCTGCAGTACAGCCAGACCTCTGTTTTAGGGACCAAGGGAGGAGGGGGCCAGATGTCATTTGTACCTCCCAGAGGGAATTTTAGCTAGTCACACAGAGAGTGAATTCTCCCTTTTTTCAACTATTGCTCTATTTGGTCTGTTGAGTGATGGGATAATGCCATGTATATTGGGGAAAGCAATTTGCTTCATGCAGATGACCAATTCAAATATAAAGGTTACTCAGAATCTTCTTATGGGCACATCCAGAGATGTTTAACTAAAACCTAGGCACCCTATGACCCAACCACACTGACAAAAAATTTACTATAATACCGCCATTCTTTCTGACTCCCAAATTCATTTCTCTAGCTTACAGCAATTGTGTGAACTGCAGACAAGCTGGTAATGCTATGTGAATGCCTAGTTAGCCTCTGTCATACTTTGGATCTTAACTCTTATTTTAAGGATTTGTCTCCAGAGTGTTACTATGGGGAGGTGATGGGACCTTTAGAAGGTGGAGGTCTAGTACACTAGGAAGTCATAGAACCTTGGGGGTGTGCCTTGAAGGGGAATGTGGGAGCCTGACTTTTTCTTTTCCTCCTTTGCTTCTTAGTGACGACATGAGATTTTGCCCTGCCATTGCTCCTGCTATGACACCATGCCTCAACACAGGCCTGAAGCAATGGAGCTAACCCATCATGGACTATAACCTTTCAAACTGTAAGTCAAAATAAAGATAAAATTTTTCTTTATAAGTTTATTACCTCAGGAATGTGTTATAGTAATGAAAAGCTGACTAACACCACTTCTCAAATTCACATACATAAAAATTGTGTTCCAGACATTCTGCCTAGGAGCCACTTTTCTCTAGAATCCTCATCTCAGTTAACGATCATATCATCCTTCCTCACATTTCCATAACTAATCACTTGACAAATCCTGTAGACTCTACTTCAAAATAGAAAAGGAATCTGGTCTTTTCTTAGTAACTTACAGCTACCACTTTCAGACAAATAACGATTATCCCTTGTTGGGGTCATGAAAATTTTCTAACTGGTTCCCATGTTTTGTCCATGCCCTCCAATATCTATTCTGGGCATACCTACCAGAGATCATGTAACTAATTTCCTCTGAAACTCTCCAATTAAGTTGGATGTGGTTGCCCATGCTTATGCCCAGAACTTGAAAGGCTGAGGCAGGATTGCAACTTTGAGGCTAGTCCACATAGCAAGCTTCAGGCCAGCTTGGACAATTTAGCAGGAACATGTCTCAAAAAACAGTGACAGCCATCATCACAAAACCCTCCAGTTGTTTGGACAAATAGCAGTAAAATGGTCCATAATCTGGTCCTTCCTGCCATTCTGACCTAATTTCCTGTTGCTTCCTCCTCATTCAGTTCCTGGAGGTAGTCAGTCTCCTCACTGCTCTAGGAACAAACGAGATATCATATCACCTTGCCTCAGGACCTTTGCATTTGCTTTTCCTTCTGCCTAGAATATTCTTCCAACAGATATCTCCAACTGCTCCCTCATCCTCTTTTAGCTCTTTACACAGGGCAAAAATCCCATGTCCCCTTGGGGCAGCCTCTGCTGACTCACCTGAAATCCTAGCCTCCCCTGTCTGGATTAGTTTTCTCCATAGCTTTTATCATTGCCTAAGATATTATAGATTGCTTGTCCTTACAGGGTTGTTGGTAAGTTCCAAGAGCTTAGAAGAGTGTCTGCTCCCGTACATGCTCAGTTAATAGTGAATGGATATTGAAACAGTCAATGACTGAACACACAGACATGGAACCCCACAGTCATTTTTATCAAAGATTTTTAAAATATCATTCACATGGGAGTGTCACTCACTGGAAGCTGGAGCCGTGATCAGGGGAAGATTTCTAAGAGAGAATGTGTAAAGGAAAGACTAAAAGATAGAAAGGAACAAATCTCAGGAACAGGCAGAGAGTGCAGTGAAGACTCCTGAAAATCAGAATCAGAGGAACTGGGAAAGAGAAAGTTAATGAACAAAAATCGTGATTTCCACATCCACAGATTCAACCAAATGCAGACCACAAAATATACAGGCAAAAACTTGTATGTATTCTAAACATGTACAGACTTCTTCGTCTTTCATTACTCCCCAAACAATATGGTATAACAGCTATTTACATATCATCTTAATTGTATCAGCTATTGTAAGTAACCTGGAAGGGATGTAAAGTATGTGGCATTACATAGTTTACATTCAAATACTACATCATTTTATTTGAGAGACTTGAGCATCCATGAATTTGGCTATCCAAGGGGATCTTAGAACCAATTTCCTATGGAGATTGAACAACTGTACTTTCAAATTGAATGGTTAACAGTATTGAATGTAGCAGGAAGATTAAAATTAACACTTAGACATGTCCGCAGATATTGCTTAGTTGTTAGGGAAAATTGTAGATCATCTTACAACATACATCCAACTCCAGATGGGTAAAGTTGTTGGGGTGAAGTCTGGAGGAGGAAGGGATGGAGTAAAATCTTAGGGAGAGAGGGATAGAGTGAAGCCCTTGGGGAGGGATGGATATTCTTCTTAAATGGGCAGGACTTCAATTTAAGATGATGAAAACCTTCTGGAGATGGATAGTGGATGATTGCACAACACTGTGAATGTACCTTATGCTAATGTATTTAATTATAGACTTCAACATACTTTAAATGGCAATATTACATTATGTGTATATTATTAGCACATAATAAGAAAAATCTTGAAAATTATGTAAGACCTTGAAAATGACCCAGAAATTCTACTTTTAGAAATTACTCTTATGGAAAGAAACCAAAATTAAAGCAAGATCTTTATCAAAAACATATATAATTGCAAAACAGTTTTTGCAAACAAAATAAATGGTCAAATAATTGTGACACACTCCCACTCAACTGGCAGCTGCAGGACACTGGGGACCTTGTCTCTTCTTGCTCTGCATTTTATCTCCACCGCCTTCCTGTGACTGGAACACAGAAAACACTCAATGGATACTTGTTGAATTAATTAATATGGTGAAATGATGGGTATGAGGATATTTGTAAAGGATTTTAATGACATAGGAAAATGGTTTGATAACAATAAGTGAAAAATACAGGCTAAAACTTGTGTATCATTTCACTTCAACTATGTAAAACAAAGGTTCTCATTAGGGAAAATAATGAATTCCCTTATTGTTCAAGCCAATCTTGAGTTATGGCTTATTACATCTGAACACTTCCTAGCCAATCCTTCCACCCACACAAGAACTTCACTCATGAAGAGCTCCTCAGGCTTTCCCGAGCTTATTAAAGAGAAAAACAGAAAGTTTTTTTTAAAAAAAACAGGGAATAGTGGGGACCATTAATAAACATTAACTACAAAAGGGGAAAAAAGAAAAAATTATTTAATCAACATGCAAAACCAAACAACACTAGCTTCGTAAAACACAGGTAGCTGGAGCTGTTTGGTGTAGGTTCCAACAGTTTTACAGACTTGTATAACTTTTTAAGCTATTCTTATAATAATAGATATTTGTAATAATGATTCTGAGTCACCAATAGAACGTTCAACTTGTGTGATGTATTCCGTTTGAGAAAATGGTGCCTTATATAACATAGTTTAGAAGGTTTTCATAAAAAATGTTTCATAAAAAACATTTAAACACGGTAAAATGAAGCACCTCTTTTCCCAATGTTGTTTAAAACAAATGAAAAAACCTATTTTACTTGGCAATCTGAAATTCTTGAATTTATGTTGAAAACTGAGTTCTTCTGAAGTTTGGAGTACATGGTAGATGTCCTGCAATGGAACAGACACATTAAAATGCAGCTCCTGCTTGAGGATCGCTGTTTTAGTATTCTAGGTGTTTCTTTTTAAAATTTTTTATTTATTTTCATTTTACGTGTGTGAGTGTATTGCCTGCATGTGTGTAAGTGTACCCATGTTGGTCAATGCCCATGGAGGTCAGAAGAAGGCATCAAATCCCCTGGAACTGGAGTTATGGATGGTTGCTAGCCACCACCTGGGTGCTGGGAATTGAACTTGGATCCTCTGCAAGAGCAATCAGTGCTCTTAACCACTGAGCCATCTCTCCAGCCCCCATTCATTATTTTTATTTTATATGTATGAGTATATTGCCTGCGTTTATGTAAGTGCACCCATGACATGCAGTGCCCACAGAGGTTAGAAGAGGGTGTTGGATCCCCAGGGACTGGAGTTACAGATGGTTGTTAGCTGCCATGTAGATGCTGAGAATCAAACCCAGGTCTTCTGCAAGAGCAGCCAGTGCTCTTAACCACTGAGCCATCTCTCTAGCCTCCTCTAGGTGTTTCTTAAGCTGGCAATTGAAATTAACCACCACAGAGGGATCTCAACTGCATGTGTGGCATAACTTAAAGCTTAGGAAATAGGCATATACTTGGACATGACACTGGTCATTTTCTCTCAGAATGGACCTTAACCAAGCAGGCAAGAAGCTTGAACAAGTATCATGTTAAAACAGTCCACCAAAAATTTTTATGTAGGAATTATTTCACAACTCATTAACTTCCACTATCACCATGCTTGTCAGTGAAAGAGATCACTTTCCCTGCTTCTCCTTTCTTATCTTCTTCCGCATGATGTCTGTACTCAAAATGAAACTCCATCCACCCAGATATACCTAGAAATATACTATATATGGTACCCCAAATGCCTGCTCATTGTTCAAAGCCCAGCTCATATATTGCCTTTTCCCAGAAGTCTTTTTATAATTGCCCACATAGAATTTGTGTTTTTTTTTCCTGTTATCCTACAGCTTGGTATTACAACTTTTATGGTGTTATATTGTAATTACTCATTTGTATACCTATCTCTCCAAGGAGACTGAATGAGTCAAAGGCAGGCCCTGTATCTGGATGGCTAGGGACTCATATGAGCCTGGGAATATGAGAGAGCATGGAGTATTAGAATATTGTGGCTGGTTCATATGGCACCTTGAAAGAGCAGGGACATTTAAAAATGTTTCTGAAAGTTCTTTATTCATTATCCACTCAATAATTTAGCAACTAGCTTATTATAAGGCAGTGCTTAGATAATATTTAACTAGAGAAAAAGGAAAGACAAGGGAAGAAGCCAACATAGGACTAGGCTGTGCTAATTTTACCTATAACCCCTACCCCCATGTCTAGTATACTAACTGACAAATGGGTTTGGTGAGGAAGAACTGGGTCCAACCTGTAGGTGTAGGGAAACTGGCAATCAATGGAAACCTGGGCAGGGTCAGATGTACAATGGATGGGGCCTGATGAAGAATGAAATTGGAGGCCCATTGACCAGGCAGGGGAAGGTGCATTAAACTTACCAAAGGTACAGGGGCACTAAGAGTTAAACATTTTTGTATCTGATCCTTGCGGTAGCAGCCCCAAAAAAGTGTTTCCATTCTAACCTAGTGTGTCTCTCAACATATCATGATGTTTTTTTTATTTGCTATTTAATGTTCTAAATAATGAAAAATGTAAATTGTTGACATTCATTTTATTGCCATCTTTCCATTGTGCAGTGCCAGTGTTAAATGTAAATAATAGAGCATTTCACCCCTGTGCAGAACCACTGAAATCACGCAACTCATACCTCATGGCTTGACCCAGGAGGTTCCTCAAACTGATCAGAACTCATGAACACAGCCAAACCTGGAGAAATGAGAAAAGGATCACCAGGCATAGGGTGACCTGAAGGAT